AACATTCGCCTGTTTATCTCGGGTGTATTTTCACGCATGAGAGCCATTAAAGTGTGTGTACAATGCATTTGGTTCTGCCTGCTACACGGATATACAGAGCTTTTTTCCGCCTGTTTATCTCTCAGGAAGAAGAGTGTAGTTAAAGATATTAGTGTTACGTGCATTTGCATTGTGTGGACAGTATCGCGTGAGTGAGTGAGAAATACAGCTTTACGTCGATTCTAGCAGTGGTTAGGAGTACCCATATAGGGAGTAGACCTTCGAACCCGTTTACCACAGGGCTACCCTGCCCATTTTAGTGACATAATACTGTATGCATGGGAATCTAATCACTGCCAATCATTCTTGTTGCTTGATACATGTGTTTGCCAATAACAAGTATCGTTGTACATGTAACTCAGTGGAAACCACGTCTGAACGAAATTGCAGAGGTACCTGTACATGTTGAGATATGTACACCATCCCTTGATTGTTACATTGTCCTTTCCTTTTGGTCTTCTAAATACCCATCTCTGTTTGGTAAGAGTCAAGATTGAAACCTTTCAGTATGTCTTATTTGTAAAAATGTCTTATTGTTGAAGAGTTACTCGCGTACACAATACACACAAGCCGAAAGTGAGAAAAACTTGCCCGTGTGATTCAGCCCGGCAGTCGAGGAATATCGAAACATCTCCAGTATAATCCAGTACTTCCACGGTACTGAGCATCTGGTGCCTGCAGTGTTATGTTCATTTTCCTCTAGAATCGATCCACTTAACATGTAGACAAAACACAATAGCTGGGATGGAAAAAGGACACGCAACTGTGCCACACTTGTCGACTGAATGCCTTCTGTACAACCTTGAACGTCATGCACCTGTATAGGCGGTAAAGTGTAAGCTGGGGGTTTGCCGGTTGAACGCGTAAGCTCTGCGTTATTCTTCAGGTTTCTGTCAAGTCACTGTCCCCAGATATCTTGATAATAGTAAACACTCCTACCCGGCAAACTGTACGCGATGTTTTTAATACAGTTAATAACCTACCCGATGACACTTAAGCAGGATGGTTGATCCAATGCAAATATTTCCAGTCTGAAACTTAAAATACATTCAAACGTTACTTTTTTCGACAAAACGATATTCCGAGAGATATTTGAAAGCTTCATGACTGTGTGTGTCCCTCCTGTGTGATGTTGTTGCAGGCGTGTCTTGTCGCTGACACATTGGCCACTGGAATAGGTGTTGTAAGGCTCTTAATATGTTCGCGAATTCCTAAACCGTTATTAATCACGTGTTGCTGTTGAAAACAGACTGATGTGGAGTACATAACCAGGAATAAGAGTCGACACTGGATTGTGGACGTGATGATATTGATACTGCAAAGAACATAGTAAGAAGATTTATTACCAACCGAAATCAAAGCTTTGTGAAGTGAGGTGAGGTGAAATTGGGTGTAACGTCGTGCTTGAGAATATTTCGCTCATATGACGACGTGCATGCGTGTGTATGTGTACGTGCGGCTGCTTGTACTAGCCCAAACTTAAGCTTAGTGTTATAGTGTTTGCCCACTGAGATACCATACCGCAGTGAAGCATGAATACCCCACTCAGACACAGTATACTGACTCCGAGCCGACTTTTCAGTCCTTGTTGTACCCATTAATGCCGAGCGCCAGACAGGGACCAACAAGTACCATAAATAACGTCTTTTGGTATGACGTGCCGGGGATCGAACCCGCGACCTTCCGCTCTCTGCTTTGTGAAGTTGATTTATCAGGAAACAAGTGACAAGCAACTATCTATTCCCGACTGTAGGCTCCACTCATGTGAGTTTGTATTTATAGTGAAACAGATTCCCTGTAAATGAGAGATGTGGATGGCACTGTTACTCATTTTCAGCAACTCAGGTAGTGCTCATGTCGGGATACAGAAACATACGCTGGTTGTGCACGTATGACTATGTTGTCCTAACATATGTGAAGGGTTATATTACATACCTTCTTTATTATTACGACAATAATCTATCACGCACTATTAACTGTCGAGACGACTTCCTCGTTGCACAAAAATACCCCAGTGGAACATATAATCGGGTACTGAAAACAAGTCAGACCGGTATTTGAGTTGAATTTAGTAACCTCACTGAGACAAATTGGTTATGTTGACACAAGAGCATAGACTGAACAAACGACACAGGCTTCAGTTGTATACAGAGCTTGTCTCTTTCACTGTCAGCAGTCGACCATGTACGAAAGTAAACGTATTGATCCTTGACTCAACCTGGTGTTTGTCTAAATAACGTTTCACATCCTGGTCATGTTGTATATACAAGGTAATACCACTGTACGATACTGGCCATGTATGTAGATGTCGACCTTGCGTCGACACACATGCTGTGGTTTGTTGAAACTTGTGAAAACATAGAGAGGGTAGTGTGTGTTACTAGAGCCCTGTGCTGTGTTTCGATACGACAGTGTAAGACATCACACGCTGTGTAGAAGGATATACAGGAAGACATACACTGGGACGAGTGACGCTACAATGAAGATCTGGAACCTATTTGTCTGTGTGTGGATAGGCGTTAAACATGGAGCCATGCTAGATAATGGTGAGTATGAGTGTATATGCTTGTGAAATGTCTACCCCTCAAAGTACACTGGTTTTACGAACCGGAAAACACATACAAATAACTATTCCGTGTTAAGGGTAGTGGAATTAGTTGAACGCCTTATGAGTTCCCCAGTCATTTAATGTACATATACTACAAACAAGCTGCAGGAGACGTCTATCTTCCATATGCACTAGACTGTTGTGTTTGGGCGTTGAATCAAACATGGTGTTGGTATGTTTCAGCACCCTTGTTTTTCGTTGTTTTTAACAATGTTTCACTTCACTCAAACTCTTGACGAATATTGAATCGGAGTTGCTTCACTGCATGTTCCAACATGTCGTTTAAAGTGTCCATCAATTCACACACAACGTTGAATATATATTAGAGTATATAGGACCTCACCACGTTTTTAGGGTTTATATATGACTATCAAATTTTAGGAATTGTTCCCATACTTTTGTTTGTAGTATATATTTGACACAACATTCTAATCATTCGTCACGCTGAAGGCCCCGTAATTTGATTCCCAAATAGACAAAAAAGAGTACATTTAGTGAAGCCCATTGGTGTAATAACGGTTGATACAATTGAAAAGCCACATTTCAAGAACAAACCTCAGTGCCGCGAAAGAGACAATGAGTAAGGGAATCAATACCGTCTTCTCAAATAACCGTCACAATGGATTAAAATTGTATCGTTTTAGTGACTTGTCCTTTGTTTGCTGTTAGGGCGTCACATATGGGTCTGTTTATAAGTATATCTGTGCAATAAATGGTCATTCTTCTAAATTGTTTTTTTTTAGTTTTTAGCATGAATATAAACGTAATAACAATAGCAACAATAGCTCTTATCTCAAAAAGTTATCAGAATAGGAGAAAACATTGAACAAATTTGACACTCCCATAAGTTAAAATGCTTCAAAGAAATAATTGGTTTTACAATCATTAATAATTCGTAAAATATGGGTAGAGGGCAGAAGTTTCACCAAGGACATGTTGAACCACTTTGGGAATGATGGTCATAAGACCAATAACATCATTGAGGGGTGGCATCACAAGATCAACCAGTTAGCCCAAAAGTGCCTCCCCAACATTTTTTAGGTGTGACGTAAAACCCAACTCAACTCAACTGAGATTGTCAAACTGTTCAAACGCTAAAAGCCATTTACGGAAGTTGCAGTCTTGAGACCGTCGACCTGCTCCATTTACAATGATCTATACCAGGCTATATTATGTGTATGCATGTGGGGGCGGTGGGGTAGCCTAGTGGTTAAAGCGTTGGCTCGTCACGCCGAAGACCCTGGTTCGAATCCCCACATGGGTACAATGTGTGAAGCCCATATCTGGTGTCCCCCGCCGTGATGTTGCTGGAATATTGCTAAAAGCGGCGTAAAACCAAACTCAGTCAGTCAGTGTATGCATGTGATTGATGCTGAGAATTAATTATGAGAATTGAGTTGTATGAGTTTTATTATACTGTGCCTGTTATGATTGTGAAACCCCCATTGAATAAAACTGAAAATAGATGATACATATCTTTGCTTTTCTATGTTAAATACGGTACCATATTACGTGGCTTAACAATGTCGTGATAGCATTGCCGCCAAAGCCACATTCCCCTGTTGTTCATCCATGTCCCTTGTCGGGAACGCCACACGAAGTTCAGCCTGTTTTTTCTCAAATGTGGATTTGCCGGGCAGGAACCATAACAACACGTAATATGGTATGCGTAGTCTCGGTATTAGTTATTGATTGGTGTTTAGTACCATGCCATACACTAATTCAGTGTATTTTGCAGATAACGTATCTGAATGGAGTTATGTGAAAACTGATAAGCGTGACTAGGGTCAAGATAATTGACAACCAACACATCCTATAGGATAAACTGTACTCAACACTTTTATTATGATTCCTTTGCTTCCTCAGATACATTGGTACTGACGAGCTCACCACTAACAGCAACAGATGGAGAACCCTTCACCTTGATCTGTAGCATCACGTCTGGCTATGTGGCAAACATAGCATGGTTGCAGAACAATACAACAGAGGTCTTTACGCAACATAGCAACAGTTGTATTAGCAGCCACCCCTGTGGGGAATTATAACATCAGCCGTTTCCGTGTGAGCTGCAATGACACGGTCCACAGTATAGAGTTTAGGTTAAACTCCACCACAGACCAGGGAGGATGGCAGTGCGGGAAGCTTGTAAACATGACCTACATATACCCTGGAAGCAACATTTACAGTATAGGTGGGTATGACGTATTCACTGTGTGTCATTATATATCTTTGACAATACAGTAAATTGTCAGCTATGTAATCGTCTATAGCCATGGAATTAATAAAACGCGTAAAATTTACGTCAGCTACAGACACGTGCTTTGTCATTACAAATAATACAATCTGCTTTCAGGTGTTGCAAGTTCAACAACGACCCGGTATGTGGGGACCTCATCTGAACCTGTGGCAATGACGTCACAGAAAGGTAGTTTTTCATTCCGCAATCAGGGTATTTACAGGGAAACCCAAGACTGACCACTTGAACGTTAACAACGTATGCTCATAGTCGGACTTAACGTATGACGTAACGTTATCGTACACATATTTATCAATCACCATACGATATAGTTTTACAAGAACATGGAAAATCTGTAGAAAGATGTAAGTTTTATTAAGATTGTCTCTCTATACATGTATGTTTATTAAGATTGTCTCACTCTATACATGTATGTTTATTAAGGATTCTGCTAAAGTACTGTATGTCATATAAGACCTAAATCAGTTGATTATTGACGAATTACTTACAAAATCAGTTGGTTGGAGCTGCGACGGAATGACAGCAACAGTCTAACCGAGTAACGTCATTACTGGAATGTCATGAACAGGAAAGGATGAAATATTTAACTGTGATTTTGAAATATTTTGCTAAAATAAATCCACACAACTATATAGGTCTTGATGTGGTAAGAATGTACAATACCATTTAGAAGGTGGTCAAATATAACATCATAAACAACCGCGTAACTCTGATGTCAGTGACAGACGTGTGCTGAGTAAGGATTATGACACATTATCGGAACACATCATTTTACAATTTGGAACCTTGGTCTATTTCAATTTCATTTTAAACCATTAAACAATACGATTTTCTGAAATGAATTTCTAATCTTCATTTCCAAGAAGTATATTCACCATACACACAGAGATAATAACTCATTTCTCAGGTAAGGAGGAACATGCCCAACTATGCACTCAGTGAGCGGTCTACTTTCAGGTGTTGCAAGTCCTGTCACGTCAACTCAGTCTTCACCAACAACTACCCGGTATATGGAGACTATGTCCGAATCCGAGACAGTGACACCACAGAAAGGTAATTTCTCTGACATGTACATATCGTACTCCTATTCCAGTTCCAGTGAGGAAATAATTAAAGAACACGCGCTAATGCGTTCAGAAATTGTACAACTTTATATAGACATGACATTCCGGAAGATAGTGACACTGTGTTCTTTTATTCCCCATTAAGAAACAGTTTAGCGTCTCTGTCGAGTGTGTTATCATAGGTGCATGCTGTTCCTACTGGAAATCCTTGACATTTACTAAACTGATCGGCATCGGTAATAAAACGTTTACTTTGCGCGACATGTGTCAATTGTGTCAAGCTTAACACTCGAATGCAGACTCACAGGCAGACATGACAACAATCCCTAATATGACAACGAGAATTAGTGAGTGAGTAAATATTAAGGAAGTCACATCGGCAATATTCCAGCCATATCGTGACTAAAACAAGTGATACACTAATAATACATTTCAAACTAAAACCTGTCAACGAATGACAGATATAGGTCTAAAAATAGTATGCAAGTATTAACATGTGACTGTTCGTAGCAATACATCCTAAAACTAGATCACCAAAGTTAGGGCTACCATACTAGGGTCGAGAACGAGAATGATTGAGTGAGTGAGTTAAAATTTAACGTCACCTCGGCAATATTTCAACCATATAGTGACGGGAAAGGTAGAACGAGAATGGTTGCATAGAATGTGTTGTTAGAAGTGATTAACACCAGTCAGTGTTTGTAGTCTTGCCTCACTCAGTAATATTCCAGCTCCAGTATGACGTTGTCGATGTTGTCAGAAATGACCACGCCGTCAGGGTATAAGGTCACCCTCATCAACCAAGTCATCGAGATCACTACCCATCTATGTAGTCGCTTCCCATAGCCAGTAGCAGCTGATGGGGATCTGTGTTACAAACCAGGATACCTACGAGGCATTTTACAGCAGCATCTGACAATTCAAATTCCAAATTCACACGACTTTAGATGGTAAGGGATATCTATTCACTGAAAAGTGTTGCGTGTCAAGACATTGCTGTCTATATTCTTGGTTTGAAGCACTTATCAGCGATAGGTCCATATCCTGCCATTTCCGTTAGCATAGCCCATTAAACATAAAAGCAACGTATTGTAGCACATGCAGTATATTTGAGTCTTGACACACGCTATGTGTGAATATACCCTGATCCAAGCACAACACTGTTTTCAGTCTCTACAGATGACGGTGATTAGACACCATCTACATCGTGGTTGGTGCTGTAGAGTGGAGCTGTTCTGTTTTGCCGTCGTTGTCGTGGGCGTCGTGTGTATACGACGGAGAAGACAGGCAGCCCGTGTGTATTTGTGTTGAGATTTAACATAAGATTTCTTGACATCTAACGTGGGTAAATGCTTTATGCAATCGTGTCTAATCGTATAGGCCGTCTAAATACTGGCAATAATGTTATATATCTTCAGCGGTTATAACCAGGAATTTCTAGCCATTGTCAGAATTAATTCTTGTATATTAGCGCAGCCTAACTAAATGTCTTTTTCAGATCAGAAGAACGATATGAAAGGGAAGAGAAACGAGGAAGCGTGAGTTAAACATATTGCAATCACACACACACACTCACCCAAGTACACAAGCTGCACACAATACAATGAGTAAGTGAGTGAGTTAAAATTTTAAGTCACATCGGCAGTATTTCAGCCATATCGTGACTATATCAAGTTACATATTAATAATAAATATAGGTAAAGTATAAAACCTGTTAACGGAAGACAGTAAAACAACCAGACTATCACAGATATATATTTTAAAACTATTAATTAAAGTTAAAACATTGTAACCATACATGTCAAGACAATATAATAACAGGCTGTAGATCGCCAACAACTGAAGGTAGATCACCAACTAGGGACCATGGGGACATACAGTATACTTTGCTACCTGCATGGACCCTAGCTGGATTTACACCATCCCTTCAGCTCCTGGCGATTGTAGGGAAGTTTAGCCATAATTTAAAATAATAAACACAAAACAATTAGGGAGAGAGTGAGTTAAGATTAAGAGTCACATCGGCAATATTGCAGCCATATCGTGAGTATATAATAATATATACTTTAATAATAAATAAAAGTTATTTCGTAAAAAATCTGTCAACAAAGGACAGTAAAATAACTATATTATCACAGGTGTAAATATATAACTAGCATGTCATCATTAAAACATTTATTACAATACAGGACAATGTAATATAAAACCGGGCTATAGGTCACCAACAACAGGTAGATCACCATACTAAGGACCATGCACAGTGCGTTTGATACTTGCATTGGCCCTAGTTGGATTTACACCATCCCTTCAGTCGCTGGCGATTGTAGGAAAATTTAGTCATAATTTGAAATAACAAATATACTACGATTAAAAAGCATGGTTGAGGTAAATTGACTTTGAAAGTTTTAGACTTACGTACCCTCTCAGGAGGATAATAATTTTACGATATTTTAACCCCTTTGTGGATACAGCCACTAACAATCGCACTTTGCGCATTTATACTACCATTTATTGAATAACATTTATCTATCTACATAGACACGTTTACAGGCTGTTTGTTGAAGATTATTTGCAATGTTGTCACCTATATAAGATATTTCAGCTTTTCTTCCAGCACTCCAGATTATCAAAACAGGACAAGCTGCCACACAGGTAGGTTTATCGTATTGTCATTTGTATAAACCAGTGACAAAATAACCTAATTTAGAATCATGCTGCAGGTGGCAACTGTGGTACAAGACCTCATTCCCATGCATAGTTCCTATGATAATGTTGTACCCGTGTCCAAGAATTGTTATTATACTTATCTTAACCCGTGAAGATTCGGGTTAGAATTGGTTAAAGCAACTCATGCTTGTCGTAAGACTCGACTAACGGGATCGGGTGGTCAGGCTCGCTAACTAGGTTGACACTTGTCATTGTATCCAATTTGTGTAGAACGATGCTCATACTGTTGATCACTGGATTGCCTGGTCCAGACTCGATTATTTACAGACAGCCGTCATATAGCTGGAATATTATTGAGTGCGGAGTTAAACAACCAACAAAACAAAACAACCTATTATATAGCAAATACTTATCTGTATGAGAGTTCTTTCCTCTCAACGTCTCCAGTCAACGTTATTTATATTCAACGTTATATTATAAGTTTATTTTATATGTTTCAGTCGAAAATGAGTTGTATGAAAAGGCACGTGGTATCACCCCAATCCAGGAAGCTGAAAATCTGGATGACTTCGTTATGTCAGGTGACACTCTGTTATTACATATCTCTAATGTTACAATGAAGATTTGAAAGGTCGGTCTGACCCCATTCTAAAAAATATTAGCTTAACTATATTTGCTTAACAGTTACGAGAACAAAAGTGGATATGTTTTCTTGAATAATAGTATTCCTGTTTATTCATTTTAATATTTCAATAATTCACCAGATTTTTCAGCGTGTGTTCAATTGCATTAGTGAATCAAATTCTTCGTTTTGTCGGTAATGTATCATAATATTTGTTTATACTTACATAAGTGGATGTGTTTTCTGGAATACTGGTATTTGCCATGAGTTCATTTTAACATTATAATATTTCTCCAGATGCATACGCGGCTGTGGATATGCTAACTACGAGCACGCGCACACCACGTGAGCAGGGTGCGTCATGTGACGTCGACCTTGACAACCTGTATGCTAAACCCGATAAAAGCAGGTCTTCAAATGTTCAACATGGTAAGGCAGATCTATTGTTTAGTGTCGAGGTCTGATTCATTATATTATGCATGAAACGAGTTTTCTATGACGCAGTCATAAATAGAAGTAAACGCGTGGAACCATCTGTCCAGGTCAGAATTGGTCTTTGGTAACTTATGTTTGTTATTAGAGACGAAGGGGCGGTGGGGTAGCCTAATGGTTAAAGCGTTGGTTCGTCACGCCGAAGACCCGGGTTCGAATCCCCACATGGGTACAATGTGTGAAGCCCATTTCTGGTGTCCCCGCCGTGATGTTGCTGGAATATTGCTAAAAGCGGCGTAAAACCAAACTCAGTCAGTCAGTATTAGAGATGAAAAAGGGACCGGGCCATCGATTATGTACATACCACCGTATATCATGTAGTTGAAACGTTGCAAAGTGTGGGTTAAACAGTGAGTGAGTGGGTTTAGTTTGACGCCGCTTTTAGCAATATTCCAGCAATATAACGGCAAACAACCAACAAACCAGCATCTGTAAAGTACATTAAATATTCATTGTGTGTAAACATCAGTTTCAGATATATACGCCGAAGTAAAGAAACCGAAGAAGAAGCGACAAGATGATCCAAAGATGTCTGAAGATGTCAACACTGGGGACGTGTATGAAAACCTAACAAGGGTTGAAGGACACAGGAGTGTGAAATATAACGACCAAACGTTTCAGCTAAAGGATCGTTCCATTCCGACTAAATCATAAACTTGTGGTTTTGAATGACTGTCAAATAGTGATGATACAAGGTATTCGCGAAAATGTGAGGCGCAACCTGCCCCACACTCTTGAATTGTTGCATACTATTTTACGCATTCTTGGAAATAATATGTCTCATGAATACAGCGTCAGATGCTCATAGTTTATACAGTTGTAACTGTCACTTGTAATGCACGCAGTCTGAATTTTCACTCGTAATTTGATCTTGATTTGACAGGATTGTTTCTCATTGCGATCATGCTAATCGAAAGTGACTTTATATTTTGCTGTTACCACGAAACAGCTGGGTACAGTCTGTATAGTTGGAGAAATTGTTATGCACGGTATATACGCTTATTATGTATACTATCGGACAATCACCGAATAGCCCTTTGTAGTTACCTTGCATATTGTACATGTTCAGCTCGCTGTGATCTTTATAAAGATCAGTGCCCAATGATAGTCGTACGAAACGACAATTTAATGTATGTGACCTTGTTGATCGTTTAACATGATGCAACACACAGATTCCACGGCACAGGTTCGGTAATCAAGAGGTGACT